GGTCAGGGATGACGACATCTGTACGACCCCTGCCTGTGAAGCCGCCGGAAAGATATTAAAGGCTAATCTCAACGAAACGGTCGACCCGTGCGACGATTTCTATGAGTTCGCGTGCGGGGGTTGGGAGGCGTCCCATAAGATTCCGGCCGACAGGTCAGCGCTTTATAGTACTGGTATTCTTCAGGATCAGCTCATGAATGAAGTCAAGGAGTCGTTGAGTAAAGCCGTCGCTCAAAACGATTCAAATGCTGTGATCTATGCTTCCGGTCTCTACAAGGGATGCATTGATGAAGGTTTGGAGCAATCATTGAAATTAATTATTATGTCATTTATATCTTGAGTTCATTTTCAGTGACACTCAATGCTCGTGGAGTTACACCACTAGTGGAATCACTTAATTCAGTGGGCGGTTGGCCTATAACTGGACAGTCGGCTGCTTATGATGAGGCAGTATTTGACTGGAAGGACGCCTTTGCTAAACAAGTGTCTCACTTTGGTTTGTCTCCCATTTTCTCGGTCTCAGTACAACCCGATGCTAACGATACGGTTACTCATAGAGTATATGTAAGTATGAGGCAGTATTTGACTGGAAGGACGCCTTTGCTAAACAAGTGTCTCACTTTGGTTTGTCTCCCATTTTCTCGGTCTCAGTAAAACCCGATGCTAACGATACGGTTACTCATAGAGTATATGTAAGCTATAGTATAGTGTCTATTAAATATGAATTATTATATATAAATATTTATTATTTTAATAAATGAACTTGATTGAAAGTACGATGCCCCAAACTTTGCTTTGGGTCGCAACGAATTGGTGAATATGAGTGCTTATCCCGATATAGTGAAGGCTTATAAGCAATATATACTACAATCGGCACTACTATTGGGCGCTAAGGATGACAGTCAGACCGCGAAAGATATTGAAGATTTGGTGGCATTTGAATCAAAACTGGCAAACGTATGAAATAAACTCTTATTTGTAGCACTTATCGTATTAAATGTATTGTATTTGACTATGAATTATAGTTTTCGTTACCACAAGAAAAGAAAAGAGATTCCAGTGTTTGGTATAATAGGATGACATTTGAAGCATTTAATCAGTTGTCGGGCAATAAAATAGACTGGCTCAATATAACCAACAGAATATACAAAGAGTTGAATTCAGAGATTCGTGTCAAAAGTGATGAGTTGGTTATAGTCCAAGACATTGGCTATTATAAGAGTGTAACAGACCTTCTGGAGAAAACTCCGACTCGAGTGGTGGCCAACTATTTGGGATGGTCGGCGGTCATGAATCTGGGATCTCTTACCACTAAGAAGTTCAGGGATGTTGTGTTCAACTTTAATAAAGTGGTGTCGGGTGTAGAAAAGGAGGCCGAGTTGTCGGACGATTGTATCAGTAATTTATTATCAAGCATTCAATACGCTGTGAGTCGTCTATACGTTGATAAAAATTTCACGCCAAAGGATAAGCAAGAGGTTTGTATAATATTTATAATATTTATATATAGAATTTATATATATATATATAGTATTATAATAATTATTTGGAGTAATTTTAATATTTAATGAATTCGTATAAACCGGTGATTAGGCCTCGAATATAATAAGCGATATAAAGGATTCATACAATGAATTGATTAAAGAAAGCGATTGGTTGGACGAAAGCACCAAAAATAAATCGTTG